GAGGAGGAGGAGGAGGGGAGGAGGAGGGGGGAGGGGGAGGAGGGGGAGGGGGAGGGGGGGAGGGAGGAGGAGGAGGAGGAGGAGGAGGAGGGAGGAGGAGGAGGAGGGAGGAGGAGGAGGAGGAGCAAAAGAGTAGCAGAAACAACGACGGCAGCCGGCGACAGCGACAAATGCAGCGACACGACCACGGCAGAGGGGTCCCTGCCCACGGGCCTGGCAGGCCGCCACCGCCTGCTTGGGCCCCCCAAGCGGTGACATTAGAGGCGGGGACATCGCAAAATCCACGGGAGGGGCAGGAGACAGAGGAAGAGGAGGAAGAGGAGGAGGAGGAGGAGGAGGAGGAGGAGGAGGAGGAGGAGGAGGAGGAGGAGGAGGAGGAGGAGGAGGAGGAGGAGGAGGAACACCCGGCCACAGCCTGTTGTAATTTTCGGGGGTAGGCAGTTGGAGGCCGTCCGAACTGGGTCGGATAATCGCAATGCATCGCCGATGCGTCCGTGGCCTGTGCATCGCCGAGGCATCCACGACGTCAGGATGAGGAACCTCGGGCTCCGAATCACGCCGCATCGTCGACGTATAGGCGACGCGGCGCCATCCTGCGACCCCACCTGCTTGGACCCCGCGCGGGCGGCCCGGAGCAGGCGCCCCCCGCGTCGGAGGGCGCACTACTACACACCGACACCGATCCTGGCCGGGCCCATCCTGGCCCCCAGCTCAGTGCACATGCCTTCCTTGACTACCCACCAGACCACCCCAACTCAACCCGAAGACCCGAATTTCGGGTTGGTGGGGGGCACGGGCTTCAGATGTGCATTGTTCAACGTTCCCCGACCCCCACCAACTGGAAATGGGGGGCAAATCGGGGCCTTCGGGTTGGGTTGGGGTGGTTCGGTGGGCGGTGAGTCCTAGCAAAGGCATGAGGGCGCATACACCGATCCCGGGCCCAGGGTCGCCCTGGCCAGCATCGGCGGTGCAGGTGTGTACTCGGCTAGGGGGCCACATGCGAGCCCTACCCCTGCCTACTACGATTTCTGAGGGAGAGGGTGGGGTGCGCTTCGCTCGGGAGCTCCCGAGCGAAGTGAACCCCACCCTCTCCCTCAGAAATCGTGGGGGGCAGGGGTAGGGCTCGCATGTGGCCCCCTATCGCCGCCCTCCGACCCTGGGCCGATGCCACCGCTTGCGGGGCCCCCCCTGCCTGCAGCAGCTCAGACAGCTCCGCGTGGCCCGTGGCGTGTGGCCCGCCGCGGGCAGGGAAGCTGCCGGATCCGCCGTGGCCCTCGCCGTCGGCGCGGCCTCCAGAGCAAGCCACGTCGCCCGACGCCGCCGGCAAGCAGCGGCAGCCGTCGGCGCGGCCTCCAGAGCAGGCGAGCGGCAGCGCCGCGTCGGCGCCACTCGTCCTCGCTGCCGCGGTCGCGGTGTCCAAGACCACCTCACAGGGGGGAGGCGGAAGAGGAAACGAGGAGGAGGAGGAGGAGGAGGAGGAGGAAGAGGAGGAGGGAGGATCCACGAATCCGAAGAGATTCCGCGTAGAGGATAACCCCGCGCCGGCTCACAATATTCCGAGGACGGCGACAACGACGATGACGAGGACACGCCCCGGTCGAGGAGGAGGAGGAGGAGGAGGAGGAGGAGGATAACAAGCCCCGGTGTCATCAGCTCCCCTCCACGCCGACCACCCCCACCAGCCCTTCCACTCCTCGTGACGATGACACAAGCCCTGGTTTCGTCAACTACCCTCCCCGCCGACCAGCCCCTCCAGCCCTTTCACTCCTCCTCCTCCTCCTTCTCCTCTTCCTCTTCTCCCCTTTCCCTCCACCTGCTATTGCTGGCGCCGTCGACAGCACCAGTGGTTATATATATCACTAGTAATGCTGACGCTCGTCTGATGGGCACCAGGGCGCTAGAATCTGTCACATCACACAGGGGAGATCTGACATCGACTGGCCTGGCCACATGCTTGTCCAGACGCCAGGCAGAGGAAATCTGAAAACACACGCGGCGCAGACGGACCACCGGTGAAAACACCGCAGACGCCATAGCGCGCCGAGCCAGACTTCCGAAGGAGACAGAATACAGGCAGAGCGGGAGGAGAGCGCCAAGCGAAGCCAGCAGGCCCCTGGCGTGTAGTAAAACCGTGCCCCGTGCACAGCTCAGAGCCCCATGGCGCCCATCGCCGCAACAGGGCTGGGCCGAAGAGGCCCACCCCTCGTGGTGGCGCCCAAACGTGGTAATGACAACACCCGGCGGTGAATCTCGGGCGATTACTCGTGTGATTTTTCGCTGGCGGGTCCAGGAGTCACAGAAACCCGGCGGTGACCCCGTGTTCCAAAACCTGGCTGTGACTTTGTGGGGGATCCAAGGCACCACCCGATATCTCACCACCTGGTTTGGGGGCTCCCAACCCACAAGAGGGCTGGTGGCCGCACGGGGCAGGATCCGCAGAGGCAAGCGACCATCGTCACACCTCCTCCTCCTCCTCCTCCTCCTCCTCCTCCTCCTCCTCCTCCTCCTCTTCCCTGGGAGGTGGCCGCCGTGATCGACCCGTGCCTGTCGGTGGCGCCGCTGCCCGAGGAGCTTTTTCCCAACCATCCTGTGGTGTTGGGTCCTCGTTTTGAAGAGACGGTCGCCGCGTTCCTCTTGTCCTCTCCTCCCCCTCCTCCCCCTCCTCCCCCTCCTCCCCCTCCTCCACTCCCTGCTCCTTCTTCCATGCGTTTCACCCACCCAGCACAGCGCTTCGTGGCCCCATAGGGGGCCCCACCGAAGCCCCCGGTGGGACCGCCCGCATGCGTCAGCCACCACCCAGCACAGCCTTTGCTCCCTGCGTTTCACCCACCCAGTACAGCGTTTCGTGGCCCCATAGGGAGCTCCACGGAAGGTCCCAGTGGCACCGCCCGCATGCGACGCCACCACCCAATAAAGCCCTTGCCCCCTGCGTTTCACCCACCCAGTATAGCGTTTCGTGGCCCCATAGTGGGCTCCGCCGAAGGTCCCAGAGGCACCGCCCGCATGCGTCCGCCACCACCCAGCACAGCCCTTGCTCCCTGCGTTTCACCCACCCAGTACAGCGTTTCGTGGCCCCACAAGGGGCTCCACCGAAAGTCCCAATGGCACCGCCCGCATGCGTCCGCCACCACCAGCTCCACGGAAGGTCCCAGTGGCACCGCCCGCATGCGTCCGCCACCACCCAACACGGCCCTTGCTCCTTGCGTTTCGCTCACCCAGCACAGCGTTTCGTGGGAGCGCCACCGAAGAAGATTTTCACAATTGCGGCTAATGTTTGCTTTCGCCAGGCTAATGTTTGCTCTGGGCAGGCCCTGCGTCGCCGTCGAGCCTGGTGCCCGAACTCGAGATGCCAGCCTGGTCACGCCAGGGCTGGCCGCTCACGGCCTGCCACGCCGTGCTGGCGCGGGCGTTGGCGCTGGTCTTGAAGGCCTGACGGCACCGGAGTTGGTCACGCACTCGCTCTCGGGGGCGCGCAAACATGGATTAGCGATCCATGGATTTGGCGCGCGGTTGTTAAATCCATAGATCAGGGGAGGCGCCCTCTCCAAAGTGCGGCCGTTGCCGCCTCGTTCGGCGGCGGAAATCCGCGATTCCCCACGGAAGCGGGACCCGTCGCTCGTCCACGCCCCCCTTGATCCGTGCCTGCGGCCGCACGACCAGAGCTGGTCACGCACTCGCTCGCGACGGGAGATCCCCCGGCAGGGTGCTCCAGCTCGCCGCCAGAGCGAGCGGCCTGCAGGAGCTGCAGGAGGCCGCACGCCAAGCTCGGTGTGCACGCTGAAGCGGGCGCCCTGGAGGACTGCGAGCTTCCGTCCAGACCACCCTGGGGGAATGCGCGTGCGCCTGCAGTCCGAGTGTCGACACGAAGAACGCTTCTGATTCGGATTCCGATGGTGGCTCAGTGGTCCTCGGGCTGTTCGCTATGCGTCAGCAGAACAACGACCTGTCTGGAAGTTGCCCCGAAGCATCACAACATTGTTCCCTTTCTGTTGGCTCCGTGAAACAAGGCTTCGACCGTCTCATGACGCCTGGTCTGATCGTTGCTGCCGCGCAACGAGGCGTCTATATACGTGCGCCACAGGAAAGGAACACCAGAGGCCTCCTAGATGGGGTCGGAGTAGATGGGGTCGGAGGATCGCGCCGCCATCGCCGATTTATCGACGATGCATCGGTGATGCACCGGCGATGCATCGGCGACGTCGGCGATGCATCGGCGACGTCGACGTGAAGCAAATCGGGCCCCGCATCAAGCCGCATCGGCGATGCGGCTTGATCCTCCGACCCCATCTACTCCGACCCCATCTACAACCCTCGTCAAAATTAACCTCAAAAATGTCTTACGTGGCTGAACTGAACTGTTTGTGGGGAGATACTGGACAGGAGTAGCGATGACTGCGAAGTACTTGTATGCACCGCCCCTCCAATGTCGGCCATCATCGAACTTCCGAGTCGTTCCCGGTCAGACCACCTTTGCCCTGGCCCCGACATTGGAGGGGCGTCTATCGACATTGAAGGGCGCGCCGACATCACAGGGGCGTGTCCGCCATTTTTGAAGTCAATTTCGACGAGGGCTGTGTGAGGCCTAGAAACACTGAGGAGGTTTGCGGCACAGGTGCACAGAGCCAACGACAAGCCAGATTCGTCGATCAGCGTGAGGCCAGGGACGCATCCCGTGAGGCCAGGGACGCATCCCCCTGGGCGCAGCGCTCTCAGTGCGTGCCGAGCCGTCGCCGGGGCCAGGAAACCGCTCGAGCGCGGTGCGCGCTGACGTCACAGCCGCAATCCACTGGACCCCTCCTGCCCCTCCTTCTTTGGAAGAAGAACAAAACTACATAGACAGAAACTTCTGGCGCTCCGCGCGAATTCCTTGGATCTGCGCTGGACCCCCCTCCCTCGCGCGCGGAGCGCGCCTGGGGCGGCGCCGGAGGCGCCGCCGGAAAGGCCCAGAGCGGATCCAAGAAATCCGCGCAGAAAAAGTGTGTGTGTGTGTGCGTGTGTGC